GAACCGCTGGCGGAGAATGCTTAAAAATATGAATTCTCCCAACTTTCTCTTGAGTCTGCCTGAATTTTTTTAACTTTTAGAATCTGACGCCACTTAGCTTAGGGAGACTTTTCTGACCTTTTAGCGGTCATTTTGGTACATATTCATATTTACATTAGCATTAGCTAGAAGAATAAGTCTCTCTCACAAAGGAAGTTAACGTTCAATCGAAAGCACATATCCAAAGATGGCAACACAAACGAAAATGCCAAACTTACCTTTCGTTGTTGGTTTTGTTCTTGGAGTAGCCGCACATATCTTAGCCACCAATTTTGACAGAAGATTTCTTAGTCCCAGCCTTACTCCCGAGAACACGTGGAAGCGATCGGTCGCTATGGCAGATAACGAGGTCATCCTGACCCCTCCACCCATTCCAACCGCAAAGATCTCAATCCCGGCTTGTCTTAGCATCTCTGCAGGTCTTCTGATGCGATCTGACGACCGACTACCCATGACGACAACGAGGACTCTGGCGCGCGTAGATGACCGCCGTCCGGTAAACAGGTATCTCCCGGCAAAGCGTAGCGCCCGTCCGGTGTAGGAGCGTCCACGAGGAAATCTTATCTTTCTGATGACTTTCAATAAGTCGTATCGGCGCGAGTAGCTGGCAAAGTTGGAGACCGGTATGGGACTGGTTGAATATGTGATGATACCCACGCGGGTGTAGATTCTGGAGACGTCGAAATATCGGATGAGTTGGCGCACAAGAGCGAGGATCTGGCTAAATCTGTATCGACTGCCACTGCCGTCAATAAGGAGACCAAGATCGATGCGAGCTCTGCAGACTGGAACAAATTGAAATTATAACCCTATTCACTTCTCGTAGGAATGTTAAGCTACAAGCACCAGAAGTCAACAGTTTCCATGCGTAGGGTGTCTTCAATCATGTGTATAAGTGAACACCGACAATTTGTTGGTTGTAAGCTAGCAAATACTCGGGGAGAAGGAAGTGTTAACCTACACTACCGTTCAAATCAAAGGGAAGAGAAAATAATCCTGTTCACTTCAATCCACAAAAACTGGGTTAGACGGCGTAATTAAAAAGATCATTCTTATACATCGCCTACCAGTTGAGGGTAAAATGGGTGCCTCGTACTCTCGAAAGACGGTTTACTTCTCCTTTTTACCCCTAACTTTTACCGACCATTTAAGTCTCGTTAAAACATCACGAGAATTAAGCAGCTGGTCACAAAAGGAATACTACATTTACACTAGTATCCGTCTAATCAAATTCTCTCACCAATGCGGTCAATAGAAGTAGTTTGAGACAAATAATGACAATATTCATGCTATCATCAAGGTTTAAAGAGTTTCAGAAACAGCACAAGCACTTACTTTTCCCGGGCGGCAGGGATGGTTCTGGAGTCGGCGGCGCAGGGGTAGGGAAAGCTGATGAAAATCAAAATACAACAATTGGATAAAACAATGCATTATTTCTTGAAGAGACGAAAAGATTTTCTTGATTATAGCCTGTGTGTGATAAACAGTTCACAAGACTAAAACAACAAATGGACATGTTAGAGAGCCAGCTACCTTTAAAACAAAGTTTCTTTGCGATCCTGATAAGCCGCAGCGGAAGTGCCACGTCATACACCTGCATGCACGTGATCCAGCCCCGGAAGTAGCGGCGATCTCGTATCCTTGCTCCCATCCTGACGGGATAGTTTGTCGCTAAACGTATTCGACCAATGGCTTTGGTAACGACGTCTTTATCGTTGACGTACAATTTCCCAATCCCTGTGGTCTGGTCGTAGGTGGCACCGACAAAACTCCACGATTTGCGTCTCAGTCTTCGACTGATCAGCGGTTGTGTAAGAGCGCGCGTGCGTCGAACGAACCTCGCGAACAGTCTCCCAGCACGTGTGACCCAAAGATGGACACCGAAGCCCCTGGGATCGTAGTTGAAAATAGGTCCGGCACCTCCCTTGGGGTTGATCCATACCAGGAGTGTTATAGAGTTCCGAGCGTCCAGCGGTCCGGTGTTGGGAAACTCGATAAAGCTGTCGGGTGATCCAAGGAAACTGTACGAGCCACCGCGTCTCCCATCGGGGCCTGGTGCTAGTCTCACGTTGAATAGTTTTCCCGGTGGGTTTCTTTTAGGACCGACGTCATAACCGCGATAGTTCACCGTCAATGGATAGAAAGCGACGGCATCCGGAAGACCTAACGTAACACAAAACATGCTCAGTTTGTACTTGGAAACCTTTACAATTAAAACGGGTAAAAATATAGCAACTTGCGAGTCATCTAGGATTGCGTTTAACGTTAGAGTCCAGACCAATTAAGAACAACCAGTTTAATTCCACAGCTGAAAAAAGGCCTTTATAAGATTCAGAACAGACCTAATGCCCTACCAATCTCTGACGTGTTAGACGTTACCGTAGACGCCCAACCTCTGCCTTTTCAAATCGTGGTCGCTAACGAAATTTCATTCTCGCAAGCAGCCACCTCCAGTTTCAACTTTTTTTCTAAATCCCAAACAACGGGTTCGAAGGAGTCTGTCATTTAATTAAGCAATTTCTGACATGACTGTTAATTACTTACGTGGAGGTTTCGTTGGTTTTACCGTTGGACCTACAGAGACAAAAAAAGAAATCAAATGTAAGGACTATGTTCGAAAAAAGATATTGCACAATTTGTCTCAGAGGTTAACTTAAGGCAACTTCAGGGTTGCCTGCCCCAATAGCACGATTAGTATTATCTTCAAGATTAGAAACATAACGGTAAAACCACAGCAAAATACGCTTTGAAACGCTTTGCGACTGTTGTTCTTTCCATTGCGAGCGTAATGATATGTAATAATATATCTTAGATTGAAAATATCACTTACGTCCTCGGAAGCAGACCCTTTTAGCCCTCTTTATCTCTGGTCCAGACAGAGGTACGCTATACACCTGCATGCAAGAGATCCTACCACGGAAGTACCGCAAGTCACGTGGTAAGGCACCCATCCTGACCGGTCGGTTGGTAGCGAGGCGAATGCGACCGATAAACACTGACTTGACAGGTTGCGAATTGCGCCACAGGGTTGCAATTCCTGTCTTCTCGTCATAAGATGCTCCAACGTAGTTCCACTGCTTTGGGATCAACGTGCGACTAATCAGCTGTCGGGTTGGTCTCCCTGTGCGGCGAACAAAACGCACAAACAGAGTATTGGGCCTCACGACCCAGAAGCGAACTCCACCGGGGGCGAAGTGAAAGATCGGTCCGGAACCCTCTGGATAAACCCAGGCAAGGAGGGTCAGTGAGTATCTTGAGTCGAGCTTGCCGTTGTTAGGAAAATCTATGTAGCTGGTCTTTGTTCCGTAGAAGTAGTAAGAGCCATCAGGGAGCCCGTCGGGGCCCGGTGCCGGTCGTACGTTGTGAAGCTTTCCCTCGGGGTTTTGACTGGAACTGATGTCTCTGCCTCTTGTTTTCCTGCTGAGCGGGTAAAATGCAACAATACGAGGGAAGCCTATCAAAAAAAAAAATCATGACTTCGTTATCACACGCCAACAAGGACAACAAGGCAGACAGAGCACGCTTTGAAAATCACTTT